TAACAGTTAATATAATATTATATTACTTTATATTATAATATTTACTATAATGAAAAAAAAAGTTAATAAGAATAATTATTAATATGAAAATCTCTAAGTAATTTAAAAATATTGTGGTTTACTGTTACAGAGAAATTAGATTAAAACAAATGAGAGAATGACTAAAATCATAATTTACTGACTGTTATCACAATGAAACTGGTCGGAAAATATAGTTTTGAAACATGATCTAATATAAATGAATCATGCTAAATACAATAATACAAACATATGCAACATACACATAATTATATTATAATAATTAATATAATATCACATTATAGAATTATTAATTTACAAAACAAATAAAATATTACATATTAGTATTATGTATTACTGTATAAAACATATTTCTATTATACATTAGTATATACAGAGTGTCCCAGAGATGTTCAAACTTTGTCAGTACATTCTATGGAATTAAATAAGAAAGAAATGTTATATGAATATAATTCATTTAAAGCTTTATTATAAAGATTATAACAAAAATATGGAATACAAATAGAATAATAACCGACTTTCAGTTATTGCAATACAGTAACCATTTCATCAAACTAGTATACATGACATGTTTGTGATATTAAACTATATATTACATGAACTAAAATTTCATCTTCTATTATAAGAATTTAAACACAAAATGTTTAACTAAGATATGACATTTAACCACAAAATACAATTATAAAGTTTATCATCTGTCGTTGAGGAGACAAAAGTTCAAACTGAAAACAATAACATTTTTTTTACATTTGTAGTCATACTGAAACTTGTGTCAATTTGAGTAACTGCATAATATCATTTAATACAGAAAAGAACAAGTAATCAAAACATATTTAAAATTAAGCAAAAGAAATATAAAACTGACTTTCTTGTCTTAAACACATATCCACTTATATGTTTAATAATGGATACACTTATAAAATAAATACAATAAATAAAAATAATTAAGAATAAACCACTTAAAAGCTATAAACTATAACTTATTTTGCATATATTATACGTAAACCAATACAGGAAAGAACAGATTAAGTAATTATATTCAAATTACATTCATTGTTATGCTTATACATTCACACAAAGTTGCATATTTAAATTCACATTTGCATATAAAAATAAAATACATTATTTCTTTAACAGTATATTATTATAGACAATTTTCAAATTGCATTGACAATTTGAACAGTTGTTATATAATAGTATTATAATATATATTACTAAATATATATTTATACTTATATGCATATTGGTTTTTATGCATACTTATATACCATACATATCTGTTTGCTAAATACAGAAATTTCTAATGCCAGAATTATTTGAAGTTAATTAACATAACAAATTTAAAAAAAAAATTATAGAACATTTTATAAACAATAAGTTTCTGAGCTAGTATGTGAACACATAAGTAAATAAATAAATTTAGAAAAGAAAAAAAGTAAAAACTTGAATTATTACTAACAAAATAACAAATAATGTAATACAAGATTCTAACAAATGTAAGAGAAAACTTGTTATACAAATAATAAATAGAAAAATATATGATGTTTACAAAATATCCATTAATTTCATTGTGTTAATCTCATAACTTACATACTTCTCAATGCTTAAATTCAATTACGGAAATATAAAAAAGAAATATTAAAATAAAATAATAAGCAAATAATAAGAATATAAAGTAATAGTAAATTCAAAATAAAATGGTGAAAAAAGAGACGTATTAATGTACTGTAATTAAATTAATGAAAATTTACTCTGAGATGTCAAACTTTTTAATAAAAAGTAAATTTTATATAAAATCTAAATGTATTTTGTGTTGGAAAAAAGGCGGACAATGATGAAAAAATGGCGGACTCACCTGACACCTGCAGACGACGTCAGCGTTCATAGCAAGCATATCAACGACCTTGCCTTTACCCTCGTCGCCCCATTGCGCTCCGAGAACAACAGTAATTTGGGCTGCAGCATTCAACACACGTTGTCTTTTCCTAGGTGTCGTGAGCACACCATCTCCATTTGTTTGTTGAATGGAACGTTGCATTTTCGAATATGAAAATATTCGCAACTTTTCGTATAATTGAACAAATTACGCGCGAACGCACACACCTCGGGAACCACCGCGCGACTGCTGAAACATAGACTGGTACAAGAACTTGACTGACTTATATTTCTCTATCGAACGAAAGGACATCTAGGGAGCAAAACTAAAAGTTATAGAAACGAAATAAACTCATATACGATAATTGTAAAATAACATAAATTTTTATTTCATAAATATTTCCATACAAAAATATAACTTTATAATTAAATAAAAAAAATTTAACAATTTTTATTAATGAATAAAGCTATTAAACAAATTTTAGCTATTAAAATAAATTCATTATTTATTTATTAAATAAGAGAAAAGGTGATTCATAATACAAAAAATTTTATTAAATCTATTTATGAATATGACAAAAATAACTTAGTACAAAATTAGAACATATATAGAAATAATATTTTTTTATATCTTCCGTAAAGTCCTAAATGTAATATTTACATATGAATATAATATTAATCAGTTTAATTAAGTTAAATAATAATATAAAGTATACTGTATGTACAATAATATTATATGACACTTTAAGTTGTTCCATTTTATACCATGTACATATATAATATGTATAACCTCAAATGTATACATTTATGTTTTGTGAGCAGTTGCACCGTTTGTATCTTTACATTACTTTTTATATGATATTGTTTACTATTGATTTAGTTCCTTTATATAAAAACTATATTATTTCAATTAATACACTATAAAATATCTCTCAAAACAACATAATCTAATAAAAAATAGTATATTTAAATACATCAATATTTTAAAAAAATTCAGAAACATTAATTATTCCAAATGCTCTATATAAATATTGTATTTATAATATAGTGGATGTAAATTAAATGGTCAAATATTTAATAAACTTATACTATTTCCAGTGAAAACGTGTAGTACAGATATTTAATTTTTAATAGAAATTTTACAGGTATGTCATTTATCTATTAGCAATTTAGCTACGATCTTATAATGAAATAAAACTTCGTATATAATTTTAAATATATTATATATGGTTGTTTAATGACTAAATGATTTTATTATGTAAAAATATGTTCTTAATGTTTCTTATAATATATACTTTATATTTACCTGTGTTAATTATATTGTTTATTTAAGTTATGTTAAAATATAATAATATCAAAAGAATGAAAAATATTAATTAGATATAATAATCATAGAAAAATACTAGTTTGAGTAGGGAAATTATTCAATTTAAAGATAAATATTACCTATTAAGAGAAATTATGCAATAAGAATATTTTTTTATTATACATTAGTACAAATTTCACGTCGTTCTCTAGCACGTCGATTTTGAAACCAAATTTTTATCTGAAACAGATTGACAGTTTAACAATAAATATATAAAGTATGCACTTGTGAAATTGCAATAAGTAGCGCAAAGTAATATCAAGTATGTTCATACTGTGAAATCAAAATAAATGCTATCAATCCAGTTTAAAATGTAAATAACAGAAACAGAACTTTAAAAGAATTATAAGCCTGTAATGTAACAATAACTAACTTTTTAACATTTGTTAAAATTAATATCTTAATTATAAAATATGTTTACTACATTTTTATACATAATAAAATTCATTCAGCTTATTATTTCATTGGGATGAAAGTAAATTAACAACTATTGCATGTATAGGGTGTCCGCGTTAAGTTATATCATCATTTTTAAGGTATTTCCGGTACAGAGATTAAAAAATGTTTCAGACATTTTTTTATTGTTTGATGGACTACATGATACCTTATTATTAGATCTCAAAAAATGCTTTTTACGTCAAAAATTTAAGGTGACCTCGACTTTTTTAAATGACACTATATATTTTTCATGTCACAGAATTGTTGCTGACGTCGAAACGAATTCAACAGTGTATTATACTATAACCTTGAAATGACCTTAACCTCTACTAGCGCAAGTGGTGTCCGAATGATTTGAATATCCGCGAGTTATGGGACGTTTGGTATTTTGGAAATAAACATTTCCATTTCAATTTCATTTCAAGGTTATGGTGTAATACACTATTGAATTCGTCTCGACATTATCTCTATGAAAGAAATATAGTATCGTTGAAAAAAATCAAGGTCACCTTGAATTTTTGACGTAAAAAGCATTTTTTGAGATCTAGTAATATGGAATTATGTAGCTCATTTAACACTAAAAAAATTTTGCCTGAAAATATTTTTCAATCGCACTATCGGAAATGTCTTAAAAATGGTGATATAACTCAACCGCGATACCCTGTATATGAAAAAATTTATTGAAAAGTATAAATTTATAAAAAAAGTAAAATGCTTTGTTACTTTTATGATATATAATAGTATATAGTCTTATATTATATTTCTACATATTACTTTAATTTTTTTCATTACTATATAATATTAATTTGTTAATTGTATGATATTTTCCATATAATTTATTTACATTACTAATAACTTTCACAAAAATTAAGAAAGATAATCTTTAAATTTTATTCCAACATTTTTAACTTATTCTTTCTACGATTTGAAAATAAGAAATATTAAAAGATAAACAATTGTACGTTATAAGAAAGATATATTTCCATTAAAAAAAATAACATTTTCATTTTTAAGTGCATTTTTGAAAACATAACGAGTATACTTCGTATACTATTCAATATTTTCTCTTATAATTTTGTTTTATCTTTAATCAAGTTCGAAACATAATTCGTCTTGTTCATGTATGCAGTTCACCTTGTATGAATTCAGTTGCACATACGAATTGTCTAATTAGAATCTAATTTAAATCAGAGTTTGTGGTATTAATCTATTACTAAAGTAAAATTTTAATATTTACATATTTTGTTACCAATAATCATACAAAGAAAATAAACATATGTAAAATATGATAACTCGTGTATATTTTAAGGTACAACCCTTGTATTATATTTGTATTGTACCTTCGATACAACCCATGTATTTCAGTATCTGTGTAGTTTAGTACACGTGTATCCATTTTAATAGGGATATATTAATTACACATGAAATGGTTATTTCTAACACGAAAGTATTATATTTGTAAAGTAAATAGATACTAATTATGAACAATGATATAGAATTTCGATTTGGCAGAAAAAATAAAATCTCAAAAAAAAAAAAGAAAGAAAGAAATGTAACTAAGTAAACTAAGTAAATTAAAGAAGTATAATTCAGTATGAAATTGTATAAGAATTGAAATTGGCAAATTTATAATACACTGAAAGTACATACCCTATTAGCAGAAAGGTTTAAAACGTTTGATATCTTCAATACGTCTTGTTTCGAGAGATAAGCACTGCTTCGAAACTGTTGCTCAAGAAAGTCCAGTTGAAATGTTGAAAATGGTATTCGAGGATGAAGACTTGGTTTCCTTTTATTCTTACCGACTGCTGATTTCCTAGGAATTTTCGGCGGTTTATATCTCGTACATTGAAGCCATTCCAACTCCACTATATTCTCCATTGACTCTAGATTTTCTATTTTGTTAAAAATTTTAATTATCTTTTTATTTCGGTTAATAAACGTGGAATATTTATTTTTCTAATTTTTTATACAAACCAATTTTTGAGCCTCCATTTTCAGTTTCCAACAGATTACCATAATTATTATTTAACCATTTAACTCTACTGTTACCGAAGTCTTTTTCTTTATCCTCTTTTGATTGTTTATCTTGAATTTTGTTGTACATTTTCTTTTGGTTTTCAAAATTTCGTATCTTCTTTTCATGTTTATTCACTTTAATATTGCAATAACGTTCACTTATTTCTTCGTAACTTACACCGAATTCTTTTTTGGGTTTCAAATATTTTGAATTTATTACATATTCTTTCTCAGTACGACTCATTAATTTCAACTCATTTGTCTCGTCAAAATTGAATTCTCTTTGTTTAACTAATACTGATAAATTTCGATTATTTTTCGCATTTTTTCCCTCAACTATAATTAAACGAGTTACGTTTATGTCAGAAGTACAATTTTCAATGGTGTCAAGAACTGGGTGAAAATGATTAACAATATTTTCTTCGGTATTTAACAAATATGTACATTGTTCATGATGATCGTATTTTCCTTCTGCTTCGACTTCACTTCTTCGTTGAGGAGACACCCCGTAGTTTTTCGTTTCACTTTCATCATTATTGCAAACGTTATTAATTAAATACATTTTATTCGAAGTAATATCAAAATTCGTTTCTTTCTTGACAGACATCACGTTATTTTTTGTATTTAACCCGACTTTATCTTCTACATTAATTTTAAAAGCTGTTGCAGATTTCCTTTCATATTTCTCTTTTTGAATATCATTTTGACACATTGCCGACACGCTAGATACAGATGCCTTTTTATACTGGTCATTTTGAAAAGATACATCCGCTAAAATACTGTTAATGCTGAAATCTTTTGGTTTACTGGCCGACTTCATGTCGAAACTTCAACTGTGGTCGCTTAATAAAATCCTCTTTATATATGGCTCTCCATTACATGCTACTATGACCACCCTAAATTTTAGCAACCCGTGGCTGTCGAAGTTCGGTTTCAAATTAAACGCATAGTTGAACATACGATGCTATCTTGGCAGGCCAATGTTACGATATACAGTGACTTTCAACTTCGACTTCCCATATTTTTTCGCTCAGAAACTTCCTATAGTTGATTTCATAAAACGACTTTGCTTTTAATCTCTACGCATTCCTTTCTCAGTTGTAACTATATTGAACGCTCAAATTTGTTAATAAACAGAAGATTTTATTTGGAATTTTGAATTCAGTGTCGATAAATTACGTTACATCATGGTAACTGAGATAGAAAATTTGTAAATTGAAAATTTCACGAATCTAACAAAAGAGAAGCGAATATATGAAATTAATATAAAATTCCTGTACAATATCAAAGTAAATTTTAAGAATCTAAAAGCTCGAATGTCAAGGAAAAATATTAAAAGTAAAAAACATTGATTATAAACCAATTTGGTCTTACAAGGGAAGGTTGGCGACGATTTCCATACATGTAACAAAAATCGATACCTTTTTATCAATTTATGTATTAAATTTAACGTGACAGGGAATTTTTATGACTAGATTCAGATTCAGCACAGGAAAATACATAAGAAATCTCTATATTCGCGAACTATCACTTTGTCGTGCCCATTTTTCTAACAAATAGGTGAAATTTTTAAAAAGAAGAATACAAATTGCATTTAATTTTCTCCTACGTTATCAAAGAAGGGATATTTTCTATGGTGTGCATATGTAAACTTTGTACACGTTATATTGGTCTCAAGAAGCATTGAAAGTCATAGGATGTGCTATCATATTGTTGCCTACTGTAAGTTTAGATGACAAACACTGTTATCTGGTAGCCTGGTAGTTCTTGAAAATATCATATAATCCAAAACATATTATCCACGGGATATCGATCCTCGTTCTGTTATAACAATGTAATTGATACTCTTGTGGGGAGCGAAGAAAGAACCGAATGGAGCGTATAGACAACCCTAACGCAGCAATTTGTATAGAGCAGATGGGATACAACGAAGGTCGTATGATTACAAGCTATTGAGTATCAGGATTATCCGACAACTAGAACTAAAGCAAAACGTAAATATTTAGACATTTTTACATTATTTGAAATACAATGAGGAAACAGAATAGATAGATTTCTATGTACGCATACATAACACCAAAAGAATTTAATATCCCTAACAAAGTATTAAATATTCGATACTAATTCTACATTTATAATCTACTTCATCTTCTTCCCCACGATATTTGGTGCGAATTGGTAATGGAAAATTCTCTTTCCAAGAACATCCAGGAAGAAGTTGTTCTAAATGTTCATACCTACAACATATTTAGAAGTCAGCAAAATTGAAAAATAAGGGGTATATCGACGAGTTAAGATAAATTCGTATAGTTTAAGTATATAATGGGTGAACTTATTCAAAAAGTAAAGTTTTAACGACCTTTAGGCTGCAAGCTTATGCAGCTCACTACTACATACGTGGTCTAATTACCTGACAAGCTAAGCTCCGCCTCCATCATCTGTACACAGTTATCATTTGTTCTTAGGAGATGCATAGTGTCCGGGACAGTTTATAGTGGTGGGAAGTAGCATTAGTCTCTTTTTAATCTATCCCTGCCTCTTACAATCGATGGTGATGGGAAGCTAAACACTGCGAGAGGCCCCTGTCGTAAACGAGTCTGGTTTAATTCAACACGTTGGCTAGCAAACGTAAATCGAGTATGCTTCTTGCGGGACCACAAATCTCGGTTTACTAGGATCTCAAATTACTCCTTAAAAACTTGTTTTTCTATTAAATATTATTGCATTTTGTCGTTTTAATGCCTCAAAGATAAAAAATAAGATCGTTCTCAAAATATAGGTGATATGATGATTAATGTGTTAAACCTAATAATCCAACTTAATAGCGATGTTTTTGATGATTTTTAAATTTGTTGTAAATGGCGTTATTTCAAGCAATCATTTCTTTTTTATTGGTGATATTTTCCCATCTATTAGTAAAAAATATTGTGAGAAGAATCTTTATTTTAAATGGCATCACCCTGCATCGGGATCTATTTTGCTTCGAGGAAAATTAATAAGCTGGATGGTTCCTCGAAGTTAGATTGGAGGATGCAATGGGCTGATGTCATGGAGAGGTATAGCAAACTTGTTGGCAAGTTCGAAGGACGACACTTTTCCGCAGTCCACTGTAATGCACGTGTCACAGAAAGCCTCGAGCTCTCTTTTATTTTATTCCACCAAGAAATTTAAAATATAACTAGGAATAGTTATCCCCTTTTACCACAATATTGCTATTAAATACATTGAATTTTATTCATATATGTATGTGTAAGCGAACTATCAATATCTGCTTATCAGTAGATCATGTACAGCAACTATCCCTGAAAGGAGCCGCCCAGAAACTGCTAATGCTCGAAAAATTAAAAAAAGTTATCAATTAGATTAAGATTGTCCCAATTTACGGAACGGAGATTCACGATATAGTCCCTAAATATTTGTTATATAATCGTCCATATAACCAATTATTGACTCAGAACTGAAAAGGAAGTCGACAAAACATGATGCTTTTTTTTTTTATTTTTTACAACTTTCTCATCATTTCTCGGCAAAGTAATAAAAGAATTTTCTGTTCCTTGAAAAATGCCCTTAAAGATACTGAAGGAATTTTTTATTTCTATGTGATACCAAAAATGGCCTTTTTTAATATCCTTCTTTTAATTTATTAAGATCAAGTATTTAATCATTTTATATGTAGATAATACATTTTCTTCACATGTTAATCAAGCTGATGTGGTGTTGTACTCGACAAGAGGAAAATTAACCTATCGTATTTTTCTTTTTACGTGGGAGAAACCTTTCAAAAATATCCTGGCTCCTTAGGGGAGAGGACGAGGTTATGTGAAATTCCTATCTACTAGACCCATACAGAAAGTACCAGGGGCATCTGGTACTACCCCGCGGCATGCCCTGTCAGGAGCTCGTCCCCAGAGGAAGATAGGACCCACCCCAGTGACCCTCGAAGACACTGCAAGAAAATTAACCCAACTCTAACCCATTTGCGTGAGCATCCTATATTAGTGGATTAAGTTAAGTTTGATATAATTCATTTATGCTCCGTTCAATGAGAAAGGGCAGAAAATATAAACAAAACATTTTTTTCAAACATTTGATTTCAATTTCATTTCAAGGAGGTTTGAGGACCTGTGAGAAAGTTTACAGTAAAACCTCCGCTTCCTACATGTACAACTTCCGGTAAATATGCAGTTTAGCGGCTTTGCTCTAAACGCGCCTTTTTTCCGGTTTTTCTCACAAAAGGCTTTCTTTGTGCCTCAATAAGAAATATAGTTGGGGGGAGCTTGAAAAAGTTACTAGTTTTTTGACAAAAAACAAAATTGTTAAAAAATGCAGAATACGTAAGTCGATCCTTATGATTTTTGAATATGTTATAGAGGATGAGATTCTAAACAACTTTTATCTGAACAATAATTGCCGTTTGGCCTTAATTTCCGAGATATTTACAAAAATTATTCACACTACAAAATTGACTCCGCTTGTACGTGTGCCTTGTACGACAGGGCCTGCTAGGTAGCCTTACTGATTAATCCACTAGCAGGCCCGGGATGAAACGTATCCCTTCCTTTTCCTTTCGTCCCTTCCAGCACCACAGCAACACAAAGAATACCTGCAATTAACCGACTTTAGCAACCGTGGGGAAGGACACTACCCCCTCCCTCAACGTAATCAATGCTACAGCTGAAGCTGAAGTGCTTACTAAACGTCGACGTTCAGGGACAAATAATGAAGAACCCATAGCGAGGGCTCTTGCATGCGAATCTAGCTTCTTTCTTTATGTGCAAAGGTCAGAAAATGGTGTTATAATCCTGTTCTGAACATGCACCCATCATATGTAGTTTATACCTTCTGTTAGTTCTCATTAAACGAAGTACAGATTTGGTTTAATCCATTGATTGAGTTAGGTTTGAGTAATAATAATATCTTCATCCCTGTAAGATGGTCAGCCACACAAGCAAAATTCAAAATCATTGAAATCGATTATGTTTGATTTAAAGCAATTTGATTGAAAAGCTCACCCATTATACATATGAATTGCTTGCTAACCACAATCTTTTCTTGGAAATGGAATCTCGTACTAAGAGACTGAGATAAACTGTTATACAGGACTCAACACTGATCTTCCTCCATTGTTTCAGATATTCACATTCATCCTTTCTCCTACCTTCGACTGAATTTGAGGAAGACACCTCCCCATATAAACGTCCGAATTCGGTCTCAACTGCAGACACTAAAGTGGGCATTACTGTAGCATGAAAGGAATTTTATTAATATCTCGGAAACTCAAGCCGAACGAAAATATTTCCAGAGAAAAGGTTGTTCAAAATTTGGTTCTTTATAATATATTTAAAAATCATCAAAATCGGTGAGGGAATAGCTAATCGAGAACTTCGCCTAAAATTTATCTATATACACCCCACTAATCAATTGTTTTCTCTGTAACAGTCGCCACTGTCAATTAACGAAGAGTCAATGGTACAAAGTGATATGAGACCTCATTTTTGTACGGTGTCCTATTTAAAATCTGCCCGCCTTCTTTTCAAAGCGTATTACATATTAATTTCAGTGATCAAAAGAACCTTTTCTTCCATAGAACTACCTCATTTATACATCATAAAAAAATATAATATTGTTTATACTAATAATTATAATACACAACATAAAAGGTATATAGTGGAATAAATAATCTGATATATTTGCAGTAATAGCATTGTATTAATTACATTTTAGTTAATATAACAAACTAATTTACAAACCTTCATGCAAGAAAGTTTACCTACATATCATTTTACACATTTTATCGTGCAAAAATCATTCTGCTAGGCATTAAATCTTGCGTAAACAAATAAAAGTCGGCTGTTGGCGGCGTTACATATGTATCTTCTGATAGTGTTTGATATCTTTTGCTTCCAAAATATGTACCTACTTCCCATTTTGGGAAATTCTTCATTACGTCAGTTTCTATATCTCGTGCTTTTTTCATGTATCTTAATATACTATAACAAAGAATTATTGTCACTCTAAAGATAAAAAACTTCGAAAAATGAATCGTGACTAAAATAAATCATATTATATATCATATATATGTAATATATCAAAAGTATATATATGAAATGTCATTATAATTAGTAATTATATATTTGGTAAAAGAAAAATAATAGTCGTACAATCAATTAGGTACTACAATAATGCTCGGTTAAGTTCAAAAAGTTTGAGTCAAAAATTTGTACTCACTTTCTATCCATTTCTGCTAAGAAAATGGGAAATATTGCTAATTCATCACTTAATTTAGCGATCTTCCTTTTAGTTAAAATTTTCTGACCTTCAAAATAAAGCGGCATTCCCACCACATTCGTGGCTATAAATAATGCGAGAGCCCATTTACCTAAAATTTATTTTTTAATTGAACAATAGAAATAAAAACATCTGAAAATACTAAAATTGAAGTTGTAAGGAGGAAATATTGCTGTTTATAAAAATGTCATTTATTAACAAAATATTAATATAACCTATTTCTTACGTGTATCACATTACTCTATATGAGCAGGAATATCTATATGATGTATATGATTTTTAACACTAGAACTACCGACCTATAACGAGTAGTTAAACGTATTATACACAAATGATAACAATTATAGTGTTACGATAATAACAAATATCTATATATAATTCTGTTTCTATCTAGGTAAAAGTCAGTATTAATTCTGTCAACAGGAGTAATATGTTTTCAGACATTGTCAAAATAAAATATCTGAAGCAATACATTTTAATTTCTTTCATAGTTCAAGTGTTAAAAACTTGTTCAGTTTAATATTTTTAAATTCTATTCATTTATGTAATCAAAAACAAGATGTTATCTTGAGTATCCTAACTAAAAATTCTACTCTAACCATTATTTAATATAGAACTACCGATCTATACAGGGTGAAGACAGCGAATCTACATGAAAAAATGAATTAAAAAAATAAAATAACATTTTCTCTTATTAAACTTCATTTTGATAATGTCTCTACCTAAACTTAACAGTTTCAGGAAGCGTTTCGGCAGCCATAAAACAATTTTCCATTTAACTCTCTAACGCCACCACGAGGTACGTATGTACCTGCTATAAATGTGTCGTAAATATCGTAAATATCGTTGAATTATTTAATAATTTTACTGATATAATATGTCCACGCAACTGCTGTCAAGAAGTTAGAAATGTTGCACTGAAGAAAAGAATTAGATTAACGTTTGATAAATTAAAACTGTAGAATATACCAGAAAGAGTTCATAGTAATTTATTCAATAATAAATTTATCGTAAGTAATTATTTTATTTTATTTTGTATTTTTAATTATCTAGTACAATAAACATAAATATGAATGAAGACAATAATTTACAGCGAGATTTGTTAAGTAAAAGCAGAGGTAAATGCACGCAACAAATATTTAAAATCGATTTTCTTTGAAACTAGGCATCATATGAAAATATTTCATTGTATATTTTCGACTTACTTTTTCGTATAGATTCATTCTCAGCCTCAATTGTACTACTAATTACTGACTATTACTGTATAATGAGTAACTAAATATAAATAACAATTGGATCAAATCCAATTGTTTCTGCTCCATTTATTGATAATAAAGAGATATAAGTTTATGAGATTGGCTTTTGTTTTCTTCTTAATAATTTGGTGTATCTTCCTCATAAGAAATACAAGAACAATAGTAAGTGTTTAATTTTAAATCAAAATAAATATAAAGGAAATAAGATCAAGCTACAGATAAAAATCAGATTTTATTTGCTAGAAAACTAGCAATACATATGCGATTTATATATAATAAAAATAAAAATCAATACAAATAAATATAAGAAAGAAATTAAGTTATAAAGAAAGATCAAATATTTAATATATCTTTATAACACTGAAGGTACAATCTTTGTATTTAGAACGAGTGATAAAATAATGTACTTATATATTATAAACAATTTTATAGACCACTAGTTGAATTAATTAATTTTATTAATAACCGAAAACACATAAACCGCCAAAAATTTCAGTAATAGAACATCAAACTCTAAATATTAAAAGCAATCATGAATCGCAATTCAACCGTTCTCTTGAAAAATACAGTCGGCCGCATAAGTATTCGTCCACTTATCGCTGTCGGCGTATATACAGGGAAAAGAAAGTAAAGGTACACGTAAAATTAAAATAAAAAATACAGAAAACAATTTTTATTAATACAAAACAAGCTGACATTTTGTGAAATTCGTAGTTACTGAACATAATGAAAAATTGAAAAAATAACATAATACGTCGAAGAATTTGTACGCAAAAGTATTTGTCCATTTACAAATTAATTGAGTTATTATTACATAAAACTGAAGTTATTAGTTTAATATTTTGTGGGATGCCCCTCAGACGTAATTATAGCTTTTAGACGCTTGGGCATTGATTTCACTAATTTGTTTGTAAAATCGTATATTTTATACCATTCTTCCATAAATTGTTACTTTGATGTTTAAGTGACGGTTCATGCAAATTTCTTTTTATTTCTGCCCATAAGTGCTCAATGGGGTTTATATTTGGCGACTGGGGTAGTGTTTGCAAGTAATATGGTATATTATATAGTATCCATTCCATGACGATTCTGGCTTTATGTTTCGGATCATTATCTTGTTGAAGCATAAAATTACTATTTATACATAATTTTTCAGCACTTAGTAATAGATGCTGCTTTAATATATTTAAATACATTCATTGATCCATAATCCCATTTATAATATAATAATCACCAACCCCAGCCACTGACATAAAACCCCATACCATGAGTGACGCCTCTCCGTGTTTCACAGTTGGTATCAAATTTTCTTTTTGATATGCTGTATTTATTTTCCTCCAAATTTTTCTCTTAGGTGCATCAAAAACACAAAATTTCGATTCATCAGTAAAAATGACGCGTTTTAAAAATCCTGAAAAATGATTTAGAAATGTAATTTTGTGTGAAGTGTAGTTTCTTCTTCCGATTTATTGCATTAATGAATGGTTTCTTACAGCTAATTCGACTCTTTAAGTCGGCTTTGTGAAGTGCACTGAACAAGTGCGTTGAACTGTATCTAAACTTACTACATTTCCTAATGGAGATAGTACCTTCTCGTATATTTCAGGTGTGGATGTATGGGGATCCTGCTTGACAGCTCTTAGTATGTGTGTTTCATCACAATTAGTTAATACTTTCGGTCTTCCTTTATATTTATTTATAATACTTTTGTCTTCTTTAAACTTTTTCAATATATATTGTATTGTAGTTCGAAGTATTTTCATTATATTTGCAATTTCTCTTTCGGATATTCCTTCTTTCCACAATTTCACAATAACTTCTCTTTCGGATAAAGATGTTTCACTTTTCTTATGCTTCATTTTGATACTTTCTATCTGACTGTCTCAAGCATTTCATTCAGTTGTTTCATACTTTATTATGTTCGTTTGCATGCATTTTATCTAACATAGCCATCAATAGACGGATACTTTTACGTTCAAATTTTTCGATAAGTTCTAATATTTTGTTTAATTTTTCATTATGTATAGTAACTATGAATTTCACAAAATATCAGCTTGTTTTGTATTAATAAAGATTAATTTTTATATTTTTTATTTTAATTTTACGTGTACCTTTACTTTCTTTTCTCTATAAATACACTGACTGCGATAGGTGGACGAATACGTATGCGGCCGACTGTATATATTATAGTTCCATTTTCTCTTTATGCCAATGCTCTCTATGACAACCTATACTCCGTTCAACGAGAATTGATAAGAAATATAAACAAAACGGTCAAGCAATCGATGCTGCGATAAATAGCTGCTGAACGTGACTGTTTAGGGTCGACTTTTAAAAGTTCTAAACAAAGACTTTTTGCGTATAAGATCAGAGAAAATTTTCCTCGAAATATTCGATCATCAGCTCAGTTCAATTCTCGTTGAACGGGTATAATTCCACTCTGTTAAGTAAGGTATTAACCCTTTGCACTCGAGAGGTGACCCTCAGTCACCATTTCATAAAATTTGGAAGATCGATATTAATTAATATATCAAATTTAATGTAATGTAACAGTGTGCAAAGTATCGAAATCAAATAATTCTACAATTCCATTATTATATAATTCTTTATTTACTGCTCAAAAAAGTAACGTCAGTTTTTTAATAGAGAATCTTTGATTTTCTACTCTTCTCTAGCCAAAAAATCGTTGAGTGCAAAGGGTTAATTTTACACAGAAGTTTTTAATCGCTGAATTGTTAATGCAATAAATGAAAATACATATGATGCCACATTGTGTCAAGTATATGGGAGTTTGGCACAAAATTTATAACTTTTAACCTCTACTTGATTTTTTACCTGAGATCATCATTCTTTTGACATTTTTTCAACAAGAAAATGCATCGACAGATAAAAAAAAAATATAATTTTACAGTAAAAGATTAAAATGTCCTTAATTTTATATTGAACACAAAGTTCTCTAACAATTTTTATTATTACATTTTGTTATCACGTGATAAATGTTTTTTCTCTTTGCTTTGAAACTGTGTTTTGAAATAATTTTTGAAACTTTATCGAAAATGACAAATCGTTAATTTAGGTGTAGCTTTACACAATGTACATGGAGACTACGTTGGATATCTGAGCAGTAATGGTATTGGTAATGACTTCAATTTTGTTCCGTTTCAAGTAAACTTGTGCAACCAAAAGTGATTTTAATCTAAAGATCTTATAATACTAAACATAACTTGTAAAAATCAAATTAATCTGGCAAACATATAGCAAATAATACTTGGTTAAGAAAATGCTTAAAAAATTGGAATAAATTTGCAGCAATACTTTGACAACATAGTAAAAAATTCAGTAAAAATGGTGAATATTATAACAATCCATGTAATTTTATTAATACTTTGAGATATAATCAATTATTAATTACAAATTTCAGTTCTTCAATTTGGTCTAACAAATATCATTTCATTATGCAGATTGATATATATGCTACATTGAATTAGTTAACACAATATTACAAATTTTAATTTATCTCAAATTTATTTCAAATTTGAACTAAGTCTTATATATTTTTTGTAGCTATATTAGTCTACAATCTGTCTTTTTATATCATATAAGGTATTGTTCATTGTTTTCTTGGCATATTTGGCTTCAGAATTATTTTGTTTGGGTATCCAGCAGCTTTTATCCAAAATTTGTTAATAATTCAAAACACAAGAGATAGAACTATCTCAGAACATAATTAAAAATTAAATTTTAAAGAAACATTATACTATAAAAAAAACAGATTAAAGATTTGGATTTAATATTGTGAAATACATAAGAATCATTCATTAAGTATGCTCTATAACAAAAATCGTGTGGACTAGTATAATTAATGCTTAATGGTTAATGCTTAAAATGATATTTTTTAAACATAGTATAGACATATATGCACTTATAAACCTGATATTTTTACTATATTACTATATTGCTATATTGTTATTTGTTTATGCTTATAATTTTGATAATTATATTCTAGTATTATTTTAAAAATCTTGTTTTAGATTACAATATATATTAGGTAATAGATTACTAAACATGCCTTATAGGTTATTATGATTAAGGTTAATTTATACCTTTCATAAAAGTATTAACCCGAATTCGAGAGAAATCCAAAGGAGGATATCCATTTTTAGGAGGTAAATCTTGAGGTCCGTGTTTGGAATTAGATGTCATTCTATAAATAACAAGTTAACAAAATTGAATACTGCACACTTCTCCTGAATGACCTCAAAAGTAACACTAGCACTCCTAGTAAATATTCTAGATATTTTTTTTTATTATATTTAAGTAAAACTTTTCAAACTCTTAAATTATAACTTTTTTAATTACTTACATTCTTTATATTTAACTTTATATCGTAAAATTATAACTCGTTACATTTATATAAATATTAATGATAAAATAAAAATAAATGATAAACTCAATAAATGACATTAAAATTTAATCAATTTAAACAATTTCTTTTTTTTATATTAATAAATTGTTCTTCTAATTTAATTAATAGAATTAGAATCACGGTTTTTATTGAATGCTATTTTTTTCATTCTTTATTCTATACACATATAAATTGACTTTTAGATTCTGTATAATTTTAATGTTATATTTTTCATCAAAATTCAGTATTTTGTATTATCATTAATGTGAAAGTATTTAGATCTATCTAAATTTAATTTTCACATTTTCACAGAACAAGGACAACTTATACATATAACTAAATATACAGAAAAAAACTAATTTATTAAAGAAACTTAATTTTTTTGTTTTTCTTACATATATAAAAATTTTTCAATAAGAATATAAAAACATTGTATTATATATTTCATCACCTCTATTTTATTATTGGTAGTAATTTACACAAACAGAGTTTCTAGACCAATAATTATGTTTATTTGGTATTTTATTATGTAACTTATTTTACGTTTATATAATATAAATTAATTATACATGATTTTAAAATGTCAATCAAAAATAAGTAGAGTGAAGTTCTAAATTTACTTAACTTAGCCCTTTTTAACATATATTAATATCACCAAAATCAAGAAGTACCCAATTAATCTAGAACTTAACCATAAGAAATAAAAGTAACTTAATCACTCTTTTTATCACCACTCTCAAGACATTTAGCATATTCATTACTTAATCGATCATATTCCTGACTAAGAGATAGAGCTTGTGATTTTAAAGCCTCTACATCTTTTTTTTCTTTCTTAAGTAAAAGCTCCAATTCTTGATTTCTTGTTTGTAACTCTTTAATCTGATTTTTCCATTCTAATATTTTTTCACCATGAGCTTCATTTGAGTCATTTTGTGCATTTTCTCCAACATTCTTTTGTTGTGACAATAAACGTTTTGCTGTTGTAGTTGCAGATTCTGCTTGTCGCATAACTGCTTCATTTTGTGCCATTAATGTAGCTTGCGTAGAAATTATTATAGCAAGACGACGTATAACAAGACATAAATACAATGAAAAACCACATATATACAAGTTTCGCTGTGCTCTAAATAATCTCATATTATCTATAATAAAATAGTAATGTTACAATTAAATTATGAAAATGAACAAAATATTATATTCAATAAAAGTAAAAAACATATACCTTGCAATTCAGCATCTAAATGGTCCTTATGTTCAGTTGATGAATATTTTCGTACTTCTCTGATAGACTCCAAAAAGAATAATATTAATATTCCAATTGCCATTACAAAAAAAAATGATGCTTGATTGCTCAAAGTTTTTATAAATTTAGATTTAAGAATTTTTTGCCATTTGTTTGGAGAAATTATTGGTAATACCATAAATAATACTACAACCATTTGGACATAAAGAAATGTTGCAATTAAAGACCACTGTAGGCTCATGTTTATTTAATCTTATAATTCACACAAATATCTAAAAAAAAATCAGAAGAAACATTATCATTTTCATTATCATTATTATCATAGTATCAGACTTTCTATAATATATATAAGAATGAGTTAGCAAAATTAATAAAATGAATATTAAATTTCAATTAAATGTTCATCTTTTAGGTTAATAATGTGTAAATTATTAATTAAGCAACCTGGCTAAATATATTTAAAGAAAATGTACAACAATTTTATATTTATATTTACACATAAATAAATAAATAAAATCTTAAGAAAAATTATTTAATTAGATATACACATAATGATATAACAAACTGACATTTTTTTATATACAAATAGTTTCTTAATGAAAATTTTGTTGCTTTTAAAACCGATTTACACTTTTGCGCTTTGGATGTATTGAGTGAACGATTTGTCCATAGAAATCATCAAGATATTGAATATTGTGAAACTCATAAGTAACCGATATTTAATTAGCTAGTAGTGCCGTGTAAATATCATCTGTGACTGACAAGATTGGTAAAAGCACCTAATTTAAATAAATGGTATTTGTGAAATTTTCAATATTGTTTTTGTTATTATTACGATATAAACAAACTAATGTATCATAGAGTATATTAAAATAATTTTATTTTTAACTATATGTACATATATGCACGCACGTAATTCGCTCGCTAGTGGGCTCAAAGTAATACCGGCGTCTAATAGTTAAATTTGCAGCAGAGGACCTGCATACTTATTACACAGTAGTCTGACGAATGTATGTACATGTGTAGATGGTAAAATTTCAAATACATATAAAATACATATAAAGGTCTTCTGAATAAGCAGTACTGCCTTTGAGTTCACTAACGATCGAATCACCCTATATATGTACGCATATTGCGATATGTTATAACAAAACAAAAAATTTATTTTGGTTACATATTTGTAAATATTACCTCAATAATTAAATTTATTTCACTAATTTTCATTAGTATTTTCATATTATTTATACTTACCCGAAGTATACCTAATTCATTAAATTCAAATTTATATGCTTTCTCACGATTTGTTGCAAATATATATATATATAATAATTTCGATATATATCTAAATATTTTCACGGGAAAAATATTTTCAAATTTTGTTAACACAATTAATTAAAGAACAGAGTAGCCTTATTTGAAAAGTAATTCACTTATTATTGAACAAACTAAGTTTTGTCACTGCTGCTTCGTTAAAAATGAATCATTAATTTAATTCAATAAAAATAAAATTGGTTTCTATTTTGTTCACTACTGTATTTTAATGTTCAAAACATAAATGAAAATATTTTTTATTTTCTACTACAAACTTATTTTCTGCGGTACGCACGTAAAGTGTAAAGTCTAAATTCGCCTTTAACCACATTCTATATTTAGATATAACCTATATATACATAGCTTGGTAAAATATGAATAACTGTCCTTATTTTTTATTTATTTTCAATAACAATGTAGTTTTTTGGTAAATAATGATATTTTGAAACATTATACATAATAATAAAAGTTGACATTAAAAATAGTATAGCCAAAATTGGAAATATATACTAAAAAATACTAAAAAATATCAATTCAAAACAAATTTTATGCCTTTAAAAGACTTTTTACATGATATATCGCAAATAATATTTATATACTTACAGTAATAATTTTAGTACTTAATACATTTGAAAACTAAGCTAACCTGATAATTGAAGTAGAACTATCTTGACTCATCAACAGGATTACCAATATTTTAAACATAGCAATTCATTTATTCACGAAATCCAAAATCGATATATTTTTGATAATTTGGTAATGTATTTTTAATATTTTTAATATTATTTTTAATATTATTTTAATAATATTATTTTAATATTATATGTGTGTGTGTGTGTGTGTGTGTATATATATATATATATCCTATTACAATATATTAAAAATATAATATCATACTTGTACTTCTAAGGACTAAAATAAATTAATTCGTTTTGATTAATCTTTAACGATCTACTAAAAGATTTCTGATTACAAAATCAAGTTGAAAAATTGTTAAATTCATATGTAAAGATAAATTTTTTTTACAGTATAATTATTTATTTAAATATTTCTAAATACTTTCTTCTGATCTTTTAAATTTTGAAAAAAAAATATAAATTCATTAAATTAAGATAAATAAGAGATTAATTTGATTATACAAAAACATTATAAACTGATTAATTTTTAGAAAATATTATATCATTGCAAAATTTGAAAACAAATTAAATTTGTAGCAGTTATAACGGAATAGTATGTCAATATTATATTTTTAAGTATTTATTATTAAGATTAGTATAAGTATTTAATTATTAATATAATTATAAAATAACACAAATATATAAATTTCTTTTTTTTCATTATAAATAGTACTTTTCTTCAAACAGTCAAATTTTTTTAATCAATTTTTTGTTATAAAAGTATAAACTTTAAAACCTTTTAATCCATACTATATACAATCTAATTTTAATAAAAATATAACAACAAATTGTAGAATTTTTAGATTAGGTAAAGAGGGAAAAAAAGAAAAATAGAAAGAGGAGAAGCTGTAATTTTTAATATATTTTTTGATACGTACTACTATTATAAATTATTTATAAATATAATAAGTTTTATATTTTATATTTGACTTAATTCAATTAATTTTAAAAATATTGTTATGGTGGCTAATTATCATTTTTATGTATTTATTTTTAAAGGACTTAAATATATTTGAAAACAATTCATTTTTATGCTTTCATATATATATTTTAAGAAACGAAATTTTTGTTTTGAGAAAAATTGTGAACTTACCTTTACGATTGAACTTCACGTAGGCGATATGTATATGATACATATTTTCTCGTTTAGAAGTAGAATACGTTTAAATATTTCAGTCTAATAACGATAGAACGGTACTATATCTGTAATATGTAATCACAATATTTCTTATTGAGTGCCAAAAAATAAGAAAAATAGTTATCTCAAAGTTTGAGCCTCATTAATAATAAATAAAACATTATATCTATTTGTACTATGTTCTAAATTTTGGTGTTGCGATAACCTTATTTATAAATATGAATAGTTTTTTGAACATTTGCTATATTGGTTATGGTAATAAAATTCGTGTTTATAAAAAAAGATATATATATATATATATATATATATGTATGTATATATACATGTATATATATAGATATATATATATATATATACGTACACATAATCACTGTCATACAAGCATTGACATTACTTTATATTCAGTTACTAAACGAAAAAAATATATGTGAAAATATATATATACATGTTGTTATTAAACATTAAAAATGACATTAACACAAAACATGTTGTGAAAAATCTATTTTCTCCGATCATAAAAAAATATGTTTGTATATAAAAATTTGGTGACAATTAATAATAAAACATGTAATTTTAAGATTAACAAAAAAATATTCAATTAAATTTAATTATTTTACAATAATATAATTTTATGTTGAATATTCATTAGATATTCACATATATATAAAGTTTAGTTTAATTATATACTTAAAGAGTGTTGAAAAGAATTATTTTGTTTATATTAGTACTACATATTTTTCAGGTAACAAATTTTACATTTCATTTGATTGTTGATGACATCAAAATATTGCACTACGGGAGATAATAAAATTTAAAAGTAATCATTTGTGAGTTTGTTAAAAACAAATTGAAACAACTGTTATGGGTTCTGGACAAAGTGCTCGTAAACTTACTATTGATAATGAAGAGTTAGGTGTTATAACAATATCAGAATCTGTTGCAAAACGATTAGCTCAGACAATAAATAATACAAATGCTAATGTGACAAATGAAGTAAGATCTGCTACTTTAACAAAACCATCTACTGAAAAAATTGTAACTTCACAATTACCTCAAAGTGGTGATATACCGGTAAATGCTGGATATCCCACATATCATCAACAATTAACTTTAAGTGCTCTTCAAATACAGCAACAAAATGAACAAGAATTTTCTGAACAAGATAATTACTGGCAAAAACGCTTGGAAAATTTGCAACAAAAATATTCAGAAATTAACGATATCATTAACACAGAACATAAAAAAGCTACAGAGCAATTATATATGAATGGTATGTATGAAGTTATTACTATATTTTTTAATATTCTTTATAATATTTATACTTACAAAAATTTAGTTTCATATTAATCATTATAATTATTGTTAATTATGTGCATATTTTATTTATAATTATTTCATAATTTATTTATATTTTGAATTTAAAAATCTTATTTTAATTGTAGCTTGTAAATTAATCTAAAAGTGATAATGACAATTTAGTAAATGTAATTTAAGAAATAATAATAATAATGACTTTAAACTGTGAATAGAATATATAATAAATAAAAAACATAATCACTATATTTTATACTAACTTATTATTACAATTTTTCTATAGAGATTTATCACGTTATGCTATTGACGAAATAAAGAAATTTTGGAACTGAATAGTTAACTAGTTAGGTTGGTTACAATTAATGAAATATATATTATAATCGTAATATTATTATATCACAATGTTATATTATATTTATTACAATTTACATTATAATTACATTGTATATCACAATTTTTGTTTTACTTATCTTTTTATTATCATTAGACTTCTAATTAAAATAGGATATGTCTAAACTAAATCTGTGCAATGGACATACTAAAAATTAACGCAATGTCTCTATTACACAATATTAAATGCAACAGCGGTTAATAGGCGATTAACTAACATTCGCATTTGTTTACATTTTTTAACGGGTAGTACAACTGTAACTAAGTATAAGGTACAAATTGGTAAATGTTGACAAGGGCATTGTTCTTCAGAGTTTGCATTTAATGTGGCCCTGATCTATTGTCACATTTCCACAATTATAAAAACATTGATTGGTATTATGTATACCTATTTTTAAAAACTTAACAGATATTGCTTTACATGATTACAATTGTATGAATTACAAATTATGCAATTTATCACTATTATTTGAAAATATATAAGTATTTTGTACATGCTTATTTTTTTTTATCAATTTTATAGATAAATTTACACTCATATATATACACTTATATCTATGTATAAAATATCCATATTTTTTGTGAACAATATTCTATACAAGTTATATATAAATATATATATATGTATTTACATATATATATG